AGTGAAATTTATGTAATATTAGAATGAGCGATGTACAAACATTAAGCGAGCGAGTGATGTGCAATCATTATGTGAGCGCTTTTTGTAACTTTAATATCAATCAAAAATAGCTTTAATATTTGAAGGTTGAGTAACAATAATTTGTATAAATATAATATGTATTTTAGCTTAAAAAAATAATCTTCACATAGATTATAATCTTTAAATCTTTTCAGATTTTATCTTCTTATCTTTTAATTTTCTTTGACAAAATTTTCTTAAAAGTGAATTGTATTATAAGTCTTGAGTTAGAGATTTTCAGTCAAGTATTAATTACTCTTTTCTTTCTTATTTGTATTCTTTATTATTTAAAAGATCTTTCATCTATAATAAGTGATGTGATCTATAATAACATAATTAATCTCTCATCACTACCCTACAAAGTTGATTAATATTATAATAAAAGAAAAAGATAATTTTAATAAAAGTTAATTAATAAAAAAAATTACTTAACAATTATATTATTTAAATTAAAAGAAGATTTCTGAACTCATTCTAGTAGTTCAACAAAATGAATACGTTATTATCTATCTTTATTAAATTAGTCTTTTCCAATCTTAATTACTTTAAACATATAAAAGCCTTTAATAACTCTTTTACTTAATTGAGATATGTGAAGAACATGTAATCTATACTTAAAAGTTAATAAATTAACAGAAACAGTAATAATATATAATGTTATCTTTATTTTAATATAAAAATAAAAAATATTATTAGTAAAATTAAAAACTTTTATATAAAAAAAATCTGTATTTTATTATGTTTAATTAATAAATTTTGATATTATTATATTATTTTTGATTATTACTGTAATATAAATAATAAAATAATATTTATTTAAATCATAATTATTTATAATACAAAATAAAAATAAATTTATTTAATTATTAATAAATAAATATTATAATAATATAATTCTTTATTACTTTTCTTACTAATATTATTTTCTTTTTTTATTTTATTATTATTAATAAATAATATTAAATTTAAATTAAATATATTCTTAATTAATATTAATATATTATAATTTGAAATTTTAATTTGCTTATTCCTTCTTTATTTTATTGTTATTATTTTTAGTTTATTTTTTATATTATTTATTAATTTTCTATTATAATTTTAATTCTTGTAGATGAAAAAGTCATATTGAACTTCAAGATAAAAGAAAATTATATTCAATTTAAAAACAAACAGTTCTATTACTTAACATTTTTTGAAATACTTGAAAATGAAATTATTGGCTTTGACAAATATCCATATTATAATAATAAATTAGCTTATATTAAAAGTTAAAAATATTTAGTATTATAAGATATAATATCTATTATTTGTAAAGTTAATTATTATAAATAGTTATATTTATTATTTATAGTAAGTTATCAAATTATAAATATATTAATTAATAAATTATATAAATAGATATATTTTGTAATTTATAAAGTTTATAGAAATTTAAATAACTTGTTAACTATTTTATAATTATTTTAATAATAAATTTAATTTATAATATTTTAAACTAGTTTTATAATTTGTTTTATTTTAAGTTTATTATATGATTTAGAACTTGTTTTAAATATAATATTGTTACCGTTTTGAGCTTTTGCGTATGAAAGTATTTCAAAATGACAATAGTGACTGTGTTTACAGCAATTTACTTTGAATGTTGTAATTAAATTGTATTTATGACGATGAATGATGTTTCTTAACAAGATAAAAATGACGAGGATGAGAATAAACTAATAACAAGACTAAACTAAAAGTAAACTTAACCAAAAAGTACTTATAATTCCAAAATAAAATCAATTTAACATGTCAAATCTGACATGAAACTAAAAGAAACTTCAATTATAAATTGGTGAACTTAAACTGAACCAAAAGAATTTGATTTTTTATTAATTATCAGCACTTGTATTTATACATGTTTTCGTATTACAATAGCACAGTGTGGCACAGTAATGTGCAGTATGGCACAGCATGGTGCAGTTGCAGCGCAACATGTGGCACAATAGATCTTTACTATTACTATGAAATTATTGGTTCTTTTCTAAATTACACGAAATTTAACTACATCATAATTAATAATCTTGTTTTACATCTAAGTACCAATAGCAAAAATATAAAATAAAGACTAAACTAATATAGAAAATGATGAAATTTGCCAAGAGAATGACGTAATTAATATGTCCAGATAAAGATAACAATGAGATAATTATAGAAAAATAAGTGATACGAGAAAGAAAAAGAATAAAATAGAAAGAAAAAGAAAGAAGTAGAATGTTATTGAACTAGACACGTAATCCAAATATTATTATGACCAATCTTTTATTATTACTGCGTTTTCTATTCACGTGTTTTCATATGGAATAACTGACGATATTGAATCGGTGACAATATGATATTATTTGTTTTAATATATGGTTTGATATATTTTTATAAAATAATAAAAATTTATTTTATTTAATTATATTAATAATATATATTATTTAGTATTTTAGTATTACTAATTTACTAATTAGTAAAAAAGTGAACTAAATTAATATTGTTATAAAAGTTCTATATAATTTCAATAAAATAATAGATTACTTTTTTTGAAATTCAATAATTAGATTATTTTAATAAATAACTAAAAAAAATGATTAAGTTCTATCTTGTATAAAGAAAACTATGCATCAATTTATATATAAAACATACAATTCTTATTAATTTATTTATTCAAATTCAATAACTCTTAAATACTTATTTATCTTTGGATATTAATTATAGTTTACTTTTTTTTATAATAATTGATATACATACTTTTAATTATAAGAAACTTTATTTGATTAAAGGTTAATTATGTATTATATTTATTTTTTCTCCTAAATCTTTCTTAGGCTAATTCTTCTTTAGTTATCTTATTTTTTTCTTATCTTTCTTGGGCTACTTTTTTCTTCTTGAATCATTTATATATTTTTGTGACATTATTAATTTCTTGTGATATTAGATTTTTGATAATTCTTAATGGATGAATATCATGCATATTTTGATATTTCATTTTGCTCAAATAATGCTCAAGTAGTACAACATATGTGAATGCTTATAAAACTCACAAAACTATAACCTATAAAAAGAATTTGGAAGAGAATTTATTTTAATATTTTGAGTCTGCTCTTCTTCTAATAAGTTATTTCTTTTTGTGAATTTTGTAATCCATTATTTTCATGTTTCATAACTCTCTTTAAATTGTTAACTAGTTTCTCAACTCTTAATTTATTTTAGTTTTGTATTCATTTTCTTTCATTTCTTGATCTTGTAGATGGCATTGATTTTTTCAAAGATTTCCTTTTCCAGTTTCCCTTATCATAAAACTATAAGCTTGATTCTAGCATTCTAGTCATCAAAGACAAAAAGTGAGTAATTATTGCTTTAATCATTTTCTTTTTTATGTTATTATTTTTATTTGTTATTTATTATTGGTAGTTATCTAAGCATCTCTATTTATATAAAAAAAATTAAGAAATAATTCTTATTTATTCACAATGTAATACTTTAATGAAATTTATGTATGCAGAGACTTAATAATTAAATTAAGGAACTTTATTGATCAATCAAGTTTTGAGATCAAAACTTTGAAGACGTTTGCTTTAGAAATCCCCACAAATTATATATTTGCTCAAGTCTTGAGTAATAATGAACAGCGCAACACGCGTATACAAGAACGCTCTAAGAAAATACACGTGTATGTTTCACGACTAATAAGATGATTCGATCGTTTAACTCCTTGTCATCTTCGACTTTGGCTGGGCGAGCCCTCAACATAGACAATTTCGTATTTGTCCGCATCGACAGTCAGACCCGATCCATCTCCCTTCTGTTGTCCGACATGATGAACGGAAGGGATTTCACCACTATTATTTTTGGCAAAGAATTAGTCTCTCAGATCCATTAGAACACACGAGAATATAGGCGACGACAACTTACAATTCATAGTAGACGTTTGCACATTGCCAAAGGGCGGCCTTGAAGCAGGGATGAATATAATCGTTCAAGTGAGGCGCCTCCAATGCTTTAGCGTTCTGTAAGGGATTCATGTATTCTAATGAAAAAGCCTGCAGACTGAGAAATATCAAGGAATTTTCAGATGAGCAAAGAAATTTATAAATAGCTGTTTGCTCTGAGAATATTAAACATACAAATTGTCGAGAGCGTCGACGGCATCTGACCACTGTCGGCATGTCAAATCCTACATGTCATGACCACAATGCATATTAGAAATGAACATTCACCAGAAAGGATGAATTCTTTACTTACTTGTTCAAAGAAACTAACAAGAAACTCATGCGTTTCTTCCGGAATCAAAAGATCAAAAGATTCCAGCGACATAAGATATTTTTTGTAAAGCTCGTCGGGGATTTGTTTCACAAAAACACTTTTTGGCGTCATGTCCATTACTCCTTTGTGTGCTAGCAGATCTTGGCGGTTGTTGCTCTTGAAATTGTTGAAAATATTTACAATTTCCACGGTCATTTCATCAACCCGAATTTCTTTGCTCAAAATGCCTTGGATTCGAATCTACCAAAACAATTGTGGCATATTACTTAAATATTTCAAAGGAAGAAAAAAGCTTACAAGTATATTGGTCTTGAAAACATACATCATTTGCATCTTCAACTCCATTTGTTGAAAGATTATCAGCCGCACTGTTAGAAATCTGTTCTTCCTATATGATGTGTATTTTGGTTAATGAAATTAGAAATAGTGCATTACGTATAGAGCCAACAATGAACGCTCTGTTGCAACCTACCTCAACAACTTCAGTTCTACTTTTTTTTTGTTGATCTTTCATCATCTGATTCGCCTTCGATCTGAGGATCAGAATTTTGAATTATACAGCATAAAGTGAGAAGCTATACAATCTCACTGCATGCTTACCAACTCATCTACAATTGTGCCCTGTATAGCAGAAGATAATCAGAAATATCGCTTCAACGGCCAAGCAGCCAATAGTGGAAACCCATAATCACCCTCTTATAGACACGCTCATCGTTGCTGTCCATCTGGTGGTTGTCCGTTTGGGCTTCATCTTGAGGCCTTTTCGTCTTTGCTCCGCATTCAGTTTCTAATGTCTTGGAATCATGTCAACACGATAATCGTTACTCATTATGCTTGAAAACAATAAAAACCTAAGAAAGAATACTTACATCCACTAGCTTTATAGTTGCAGTCTTCGAAATCGCAACCTTTGCGATATCAATGTTTCTGTTGATTTCTCGATTATTTTGCCTCTAAAAATAAATAAATAAACAAAAATAAAAATCAGTATTTGCAAAATAAATAAGAGCTATAATCACATACAATTTCCCACTTTCGGTCAATTTCATAAAAAAAGTCAAGAACTTCTTTTCTTTGAAAATTCTCTTCGGCGCTCTTGAATAATTTGGTGGCTTTCGCCCTCGCGCCAGCATACACGATAGGGGAATCATTCGTCTTCTCAAGTACTCGCTTGAATCAATCAAGAATATCTTTTTTGCTATTGGAGGAGAATTGTATACAGCCTTCCAAATAGCGAAGAAATTTAAAATGCACCAGTTTTGAAGAGACGTGCCATTAAGAAAGTCACTTGCATATTTTTCAAAATCCATATCTATTCTATTTAAGAAAAAATGAATGAGTGTCGCTTATACGTAATTAAATTTGAAACTATTGTATTCAATAATAATAGTAGCGCTCAAACAAAGCTTGTCTACTGGAAAAGGGACCCAGGCGTAGGCACTAAGAGCCGCATTGAACGAGTCATAGTGATTATCCCGCAATCCTCAGATCCAAACATCGAGTCGCAGGGAAAACCATACGAGCGTAGGATACCGTAGCACGCTATCTTTATTATTGAAGCTGTGCGAAATCACTTAACTGTTATGTCCGGAAAACCGGTGAGTGTGAGACTAGTTGAGGAAATGGAGCAGTAGGGTTGGCTATAATAATAAAATACATGTGCTAAATAAAAAGGGGGGTCTGTTAAAGCCGTGTAGTTACACGTGAGTTTAATCCGATCCGGATTGCAACCATGTGACCAAATTGAATAGCCAATAAAAATACTATATAGCGTTGGCTCACCAGC